ACGGTGAACGCCGCTAATACGGTGAACGCCGCTAATACGGTCAACGCTGCTAACACGGTGAACGCCGCGAACACCGCTAACTCGACTGGCGTGGAGGCGGCCACGCGGAAGGACCCCAAGAAGGGGTTCCCGAAGTACCTGGAGAAGCTGCTACACATGAACAGCGAGAAGGAGCTGGAGGACCACGTGATGACCTTCCTGTTGAACTACAACACGAAGAGGAAGCGAAAGCTCGTGGCAAGCAGCATCACACACATCAACCAAGTGGTACTGAACTTGATCCCCTTCTATTGCCGGTACGTAGCTATTATAAACGTGTACAGGAAGGACATGGCAGTGACCATAATTGAGGAGGTAAAGAGAATAACAGAAAAATTAATTAAAGAAAAACTTCCTTGCCAAAATAAAAAGACCAAGTGCATAAAATATATTTGTGAGCTAGCCAAATTTAAGCTCCTAGACATAACGTACATTTTAGACGTCCTACATTTGCTGAATGAAAATTTTACATCTGATCATGCGGAGCTGTCCCTATACATTTTGGAGAATTGTTCTCTCCTGCTAATTAACAACTCAAAGACACACATACGCTTTATAAATCTGTTACAAAAGATAAAAAAAATGAAAAGTTCGAAGAATTTCTCCACATCATTTGATCTACTGTTCGAAGAATGTTGCATCAAAATAGAGCAAGAATTTGATCCACAAAAAAAAAATTTTAAAAAAAATAAAGCCAAATCCAAATATTCAGAAGAAAATTTAAAAAAAAAAAATTTTTTAAAAAAACTCCTCTTTTATGACATTGAAAAAAATTCTCTTGAAGAGATAAGCATGCACATGAGGAAGTTCAATTGGGATGATCAGTTTTTTACCTGTTTGTTCAGGAAATATATTTTTAAATTTTTAATTTATATGAGCATTTACCAAATTAGTAACTTGGCTTCTCTGTTATTTTATATAGCCATGCACAGACCTTACTTCGTCACACAAATTATTGATGAGCTGTATGAGCGCATCGTACACATAGTGGAGAGGAATGATTTTAAAAAGTTTACTTTACTCATTCAGTATGCGCATTTATTTTCAGAGCTTTTTATTTATAAAATACTTAGTTCGAGCAGTGTACTCGACATGCTATATTTTTTAGTTTCGCTCTCTGAGGCGGACATGGCAAACTTCCACCACGTGTCTAACATCCATCGGCTTTTTCACGAAAATCGGCTGACCGCTCTTGGGGGACGAAAAAACCCTGTGGAGAGCAAACCGGGAAATGGCCCTTTTGAGGAAGGCGAACATTTCTCCTTCGAGGAGTACGAAAATCCTTTTCACAAATTTCTTTTCATCAATAGACGCAGCCCAGTGTTCCGCAACCTGCTGCAGGACCCAGACTGTAGCAGCTTCATTAACATTAAAATGGTTTGTATAATCCTTGAACGATGTGGAAGGTATTTTCAGAATGCCCCCCTATTGAAATTCAAATTAACAAAATTCCTTTTAATTTTTATTAGATTTTTACGTGTGCAGGAACCCCTCCCTGTGTATATTACCGACTTAACAAATAACATCATTGATGTGCTGTGCAAGGACATGCGCGTGTTGAAGACGGTTCAACTGGTCGACAAGTACCTGTTCAGACTGCTAAGGTGTGAGTATAGAGTATACCTGAGCGTTACCGGAAGAGGTGCAGGTGTTGCCGAGGGGGAAGTTGCTACGCGGGACAACTCCTCCCGTTTTGTCACCGAACAACAATTAACCTTTCGACTCGACGCAGAAGATGCTGCTGCAATGCAACAAAACGACGTAGGCCGTGAGAAGATGAGGGGGGGATACGCCCATGGGGGTAGAAGTGGGTGGCAAGCCAAATCGGGTGAGTACACGTACGGAGGTACCTACCGAGATCGCTACGGAGCACCCTACCAAGATTACCATCGAGATGGTCTCAGAGGCACGCAAGTGCGGGGCATTACAGCAGACGCAGAGGACCGTGTGTGCAAGGAGAAGGACCTGCACAACAGCCACCGCAAAGAGCAGGACGCCATTGCCAATGAAGATATTGATGAAGAAATTAACGCTATAATTAAATCATCCATTGTGGAAAATAGGTCTTGTCACAGCAGGAGGGATGCCCCGCGGAACATTAAGAACGCCACGCTCTACGACAAGCTGCTTGGCAGAGCGGGCAAACCGATTGGTGTGAAGTGTGCCAAATGAAGGATGCTAGCCAGGTGGAGGCGCAAGAAGGGGATAAACGGAACCAGAGGTATATGCAAGCAGCACACCCATTGTTACAGCCCGAGAAAATTTTTCCCGTCCCACACCCTTTCATGATATGTCTGCGAACGGGCAGGACGCATATATATATGTATATATATATAAGCCCGTTTTTCCCTTTTCACAAAACTGAACCTGGCAAAAAAAAAGGGGTATGTCTTGCCCCGCAATTAGTTTACCTCTCATGTGTGCAGAGGTGTTATTCTACTTTTATTTTATTTTATTTTATTTTTTTTTTTTTTGTTCCAACTTGTACATTGTACATTCAATTCACATACCACTTTGTGGAGAACCATAAAACTACTCCGCATTTTGAAAAAAGGAAAATGAAACTACAATACGGTTATCGCTCCGATGAGACAGGTATAGCATATCCTTTCCCCCCAACAATGGTGCCCCTTGCAGCCGATGTGCATGGTGAAAAGGATATGAATGAAGAGGAGACAAAAAAAAGATACAATTGCTGCAATAATGCGATCTGAAAATGTATGCAACGCCACGCTCGCGCGCAGTTGATTATGCTTTGGTATGTTTTCTTAATTGGCTGCGACATGGGTGGAAATTAAAGGAACGGTGGGGTGTGGAAGGCCGTATTACTTTCACCCA